TTATAATATGCTTAATACATGTGCTTTGCTTACTGTAAAATTGGTTATAAATAAGGAGGCTAGTATTTATCAATCAAATGTAATGGAAGCCCAGTAAAAATTCGTCATTTTATGTTAAACATTAAAATTTTTTTTTTTTTTTAAATGGCTAAAAAGTAAATCCCGTTGCAACTATTTATTATTACCTTAAAAAATACCATCATAGAAATATATAGATAGAAATATATAGATAGAAAGCTACTGCCTGTTCGTCTATCAAAATAATCAGGATGAATCCAGCATATTTATTGAATTTAAATTTAAATTTAACTTTAAATTTAAATAATGCTAATGTTAAAGAGTAAAAGCTCAAAAAATAAAATGGCAAATATACTTTTTATATTATTTAACACTTTGGTATTTTAAAAATTACAGAAATATGTCTCATTGTTCTCTAAATTAACTTATGTTCCATTGTCTTCATGGAAATGAAATATTGGCTGTGTGTTCGATAAAAATGTATATATGATAATTTTCCAGCCTATATAAAAAATTAAGTAGAGGAAAGTATTTTTTCAAATGATCCAGTGACTGAATTTATTAAAATAAATTACAAAATTCAAGTTGATCGGTCAAAGTTTTCACCAAACTATTTACGATATTTCCTTATTATTTGATATTCATCAGTGCAGACCTATAAATTCTTACTAAAACAGTTTCTTCTACCATCATTTAGTTTTTTAAAAAAATTGATGGAATAATCCTTTATTCTTCAATATACATCAGTGCAGGCCTATATACTCATATTAGAACTATTTCTTCAACCGTCATTTAACCTATTGAAAAAAATGTAGTTTAGATGAAGCAGTACCGTTGATATCTATAAAATGTTTATTAAACATGATTTTTATTAAAAAAAATAAAAATTAAACATTATTATAAGAGCTATATCAGAAGTAAAAACTGAGGGTTAGTGACTAACTGACCATGTTGATGAGTGAATTATATCTCTACAAGAAAATAATTTTTATGTACGTGGTATAATTTCTGATAACCATTCTACTTAAAAAATAACAGCATTATATATATATATATATATATATATATTTTTATTTATTATTTTTTTTTTTTGACGCTGTCCATCTTCTCAAAAATATATTAAACAATTTACTAAATTCCGTTTTATATTCGCTGCTTTTTATTTTGATCAGTTTCATGATGTTATTGATATACATGCTGGTTAAATTGCAATGGATAATGACAATTTGAAGTTAATAAAAATAGGTTTCAAGTTATTTTTTAAATCACTTCAGGAGATAATTAGCAAAGTGTACCACTTGCTTTTGCAATATATGATTTTACAATTTCGGTAGCTATTAAAAGTAATTTTCTAGTTACGGATGGATGTCTCAAGCTTTTTAATAATTATATGGTGAATAATAAGCATATATTGGAACGCAAAATTAACTGCGTTTTGCGTTTACGCTCGAAAATAATAACTCGTATGCAAACTCAAACGCATCTGACGCATTTTATTGCGTTTACTTACATAAACGTAATTTACGCAAATAACTGCTTATAAAATGCGTTTTCAAACGTTACTCAAACGCAGCTAAAAGCAGCTATTGATGGAAATGTTAGTAACATGACAAATAGCTTTCGTAACATTGGCATTTTAGAATATTTGAGCCAAAAATTATAAGAAGGATACACAGATATAGCCAGGGCCGACAACACGAGTTTAGAAATTTCGTAGGGAAAAAAAAAAGTCTTTTTAAAAAACAGTGCGTGTATGTGTGTGTGTGTGGGGGGGGGGGGGGGGAGGAGGAGGTGATCACATCCCTCCCTCCCAGTCCCGCCGGAATCGTCAGCAATGGTAGGAAGTCCTATCTCTTCGATTTGCTTAAAAATGTAAAGTTTTTCATTTTAGATTTCAAATGAATACAGTTGCATATTAAGTTAACGAGCTTTAGTTTTTATCGATAAATTATAAGTGTGGCGCAATAGTGTCGCAAAATTTTTATTGTCGCAAATTTGATTGTCGAAAATGTGAAAAGAAATAGTTTCGCAAATTCTCTCATTTTTGACTGTCGAATAACAGAATAAAGAATAATGTCACAAATAGGGCTGCTAGTTCGAACATGTTCTAGTTCGAACGTTCAAACTTTTTCGCAAATATTTCAACTTTTCAAGTTAAATTTCAAGTTCGAGCTTTTTTCTTCTAACAGTTCAAACTTTTAAATTTAAAAAAATGATATGTCTTTTTATTAATTTTTGTAAACAAGCTGAAATATAAGTAAAATTTATATATTTAAATATTTTTTGTTTTTTTGTTTTGTGTTTGTCTGAAAACTCTAAAAGTATAATCAAAATTACATCACCTGTAGCGCCATCGCATTTAAGGTAGAATCGGTTTTTTCCTTTTAAAAAGTTGTTAAACAGTGGTTGCTACTTTTTCACCGTTTGACCACTGTTTATTTACGTTTGACCACTGTTTATTTAGAGTTTTAAGTTCAAAAAAAAATGGCTACTCAGCGTTAGCACATCTAGAAGATCTGAAGTTTAGGAGTATAATTATTATGTTTCAGTATCCAGAAGCTTTCAGTATCCTGAAACATTCAGAAGCACCCAGACGCATCCAGAAGCTTTCAGAAGCATTGAAAAAAAGCATCTAGAATCTTTTAGAACAAGTTCATTTTACTATATAAGAGACATGTAAACCGATATGTAATTCAGTCAGTATATGGAAGTCAATCAGTCAGAGTATTATCAAGACAGTTTATCGAAGTGAGTTTTATCAAATTGTTTTTTCAAAGAACATCAATACAAGAAGTGAAATACAACAAGTATTTCATTACATCAATACAGTCCACATCCAACCAAGACGTTGTGTTTTGCAGAGCATTATTGTTTTATCACAAGGTAAATGTAACACGGTAAGCCTTGAGAAGCGTGATTATTATTTTTATTATTTTTATGCCTTCAAGTGCAAATGGCTCCCGACAGTCTTGGATTGGAACTAAGAAAGAAAATTATTGGCTATTATGTAAGTGGAATGTCACAAAAAAGTATTTGTGATAAATATCGCGTGAAAAAATGGACCGTATCAAGACTATGTTCCAAATATTGTTCTACGGGGAAGTTGGCAGCAGTTAACAAAGGTGGAAGACCGCATTCCACCACTTCTAGAGAGGATTCTATGATCGTCAGATCCGTCAAGAAGGGTCCCCGGATATCATCAGTTAAGATACAAAAGCAATAAGAGCTGCCTGTATCGGACCGAACAATCAGACAACGTGCTCTTGAAGCCGGATTGTTTTCTCGACGCCCAGCAAAGAAACCGCTGATTTCAATAAAGAACCAGAAGAAAGACTCCTGTTTGCTACATCTCATACTGACTGGAATGTGCAGAAATGACGAACTGTCCTTTTCAGTGATGAATCAAAGTTCAACTTCATTGGGAGCGATGGCATTTGCCGTTTACGTCGACCGGCCGGAAAACGCCTCGATTTACGTTACTGCCATAAGACTGTGAAGCATGGTGGAGGCAATGTAATGGTCTGGGTGTGTTTTTCTGCTAACGGTCTAGGCCCAATACATCGAATCAATGAAATAATAGACCGTTTCATGTATAAAAATATCCTGAAAGATTTTATGTTACCTCGTGCTGAATGGAATATGCAAATAAAATTAGTTTTTCAGCAAAACAACAATCCGAAACACACTGCAAAAGTAGTTTCAAGGTTATCAATTTTTAGGCAAGCAAAAAAGTTAAAAAAAATATTTTTAAATGCCTTACTTACTCAAAAATTTTGTTGATTAAAATTATTGGTTTTAAAACTAATAAATTTTGATTAATGAACGGATTCTCAGTTCAAAGAATTAGTAGTAACGCAGAAATACAATGTGAAGTATCAGAAATAGATAATTTCTGCGTTCACGAGACTTAAAATTTTGTAATTTCTTGGTTTGAAATAAGGGATGCCGTTCTTCATTTTTGACGCGGGCGTTATTGGCGTTCTCAAAGGTCCTGCATTAACTAATAATACGCCCTCATGATACGAGTTTAAGTTACGAAAAAAGTAAGTTAAGAAATCTCTACCATCGTCAGAAACACGCAATGCGTTTAATATGTTTTGAAAATCGTTTTTATATTCAAATATTTTATTTAAAAACGATAAACCACTTAACGTTTATGAACTCAATGCCCATAATACTTTGGGTGAAATGCAAGAAGCGAACTTGAGTCAAGCTCGACTTGAACTTTACATTGCAACCAATAGCGACAGAGTATGAGTTTTCCCCTCAAAAAATACTCTGCCGCTATTGGTTACACAGTAAAGTTCAAGTCGAACTTGAATCAAGTTTGCTTGATTGAATGCAAGAATGGAAATGAAAAAGGGTGGAATGCAAGAATGCTTCTTGCATTCCACCCTTTATGTTTTATGTTTCGTTGTAAAAATGAACAAACATTGTTCATTTTCAAAGATCTTGTTACCCATAAAGCTTTAAACAAATATACTTTAAGAAATAATAATTTATTAATGGAACCCTTTTGTCAAACAAAGTTTACTCAGTTTTGCATAAACTATCGAGCACCGTATTTATGGAACAAAATTGTTGTTCAAAATTTTGATTTGTAAATTTCGTTTTCCGTTTTTAAAACTAAGTTAAAAACTATATTCTTTCTACTGGCAATATATATAAATATTTTTGAAATGTAAAATTATTTTCACTCTGGATAATTTGTAAAATTATTTTCAGTTTTTGTTTATTCTACATTGTTAATAATTATTAAATCAATTGTATTTTTATTTTATTATATTTTATATGGTTCTGGCGACAAGATCATTTGGATCTTCTTTCAGATACCAAGTTTATATATTGCTATATTACAATTAATAATTATAAACTAAAAAATAAAGTAAAAAAAAAAGAAAAAAAAAAAAAGAGTTTTCATTTATGCAGAATTGCTTATACGTAATTGCATAACGTAAATCGCGTATACATTACGCAGAATTGCGTATACATAGACATCCTCCTATATCAGACAGTACGCGTACTTGTTTTTAATTGTTTACTTAGAAAAATGGATATAACCTTGTGGGGTGAAGTTGAAGGCATAGAAGATATTGACAAAAGTAGTAAAAATTCAGAAGATAAAAAAAATAACATATTAAATTCATTTGAAGTACCTCCATTGTATGAACAGCATAAAAATGTCAAAAAAGAGTATGTATTTTGAATTCAAAAAAATTTAATCTAAATTTTATAGCAAAATTTTAGTATTATTATTTAATTGTTATCCATTTATAGCAATCAGAGTATTACTCTAATCATTTATAGCAATCATTTATATATACACATAGCAATCACTCTAATCATTTATAGCAATCAGAGTATTACTAAAATAAATAGTAATTGAAATTCTAAAAACTAAATATTTTATACAATCATTGTAAAATGATATTAATTTCATGAAATTGTTTTCCTTTTTTTTTGAATTTTTTTTTATAAAATTTAGATTATATTTTTATAAAAATTTAGAAGGGGGATAGGACACATAATTTGTTTCTATGGTAACTTATAATAACTTATCAAACATACAAAAACACACACATAATATGTGTGACTGTTTGAGTATGACTATTTTAGAGTACATATATATATATATATATATATATATATATATATATATATATATATATATATATATATATATATATATATATATATATATATATATATATATATATATATATATATATATATACAAGGATATTAAAAGAGTTAAAGCTATGTAAACAATGCATCAACCTATTATTTAGCTCCATAAACTGGCTTGATTTGTAATATTAGACCAATGAGCAAGGCAATGGTTTCAAAAGTATAAAATATCTTATGCAACACTTTCAGAAATCACTTGCAGAAGCTAATTTCCAGGAAGCAAATGTTTTTGAATAGTGAAATGCTCTACAGTTAATGGTAAAAACATTTTATTCAAAGTTAAGTTGTCTGGAAGTTTAGTAAAAATTATGGGAATATAAAAAATCTTTATTTCCCAATATTTTAGTATTAGCTAAGTTATGCTTGTGTTTATCATCATCTAACAGCACAGTTAAAAGATGTTTAAGCATACTGACTACTATTCTTACAGATAAAAGTCAAAATAAAAGACAAAAGACAATAAAGCATATTACCATGGAACAATGCATGCTAATTATTGGAAATAACCATGTATGGTTGAATAAAGATTGAAATGAAGTCTTAAAAAATGGTGTGGATAAATATTTAGAAAAACATATTCAGTTAAATTTCAAATCTAAACAGCAATTAACATCATCAAAAATCATATAAATATAAATGAAGCTCCTGTTGAAAAAGTTAAAAGTGACAACAGTTTATTATATAATAAACTATCCGATTCAAAGGAACTAGAAGACAATTATAATAAAAATGACAATTGCGAAATGCAGTCATCAGATTATGAATTACTGGATTCATATGAACAAATATATGATTTTAGTAAAGACAATTATTCTTTTGATGTTGAAGAATGCAGCCCTACATTTTAGACTTCTTCATTTGTATTAATAACTTTTTATTACTTTACATTTTTAAACTTGTTAAAAATATATATATACATTTTACAACTGGATAAAAAATTTTTTTTTCTCAACTTTACAGTTTTTGTAAAACATTTTTGAACATTATTTGTTGTTTCTATATATTAACGTATAAAAATCTCAAATAGATTCCATGTTGTAGATGTTTTATTTTTGTATAATTTTTTTGGACACATCTGTTTTATTTGGTTATAAGGTACTTTTTTACTTTAGTTTAATTTCTTTCACAAGATGTTCAGATTTAAGATTTAAGAGTACTATATGTGTTGTCATATATTGGTATGATTGTAGCCTTCTTCCTTACATTTTTTAAAAATCAAGACCAAATGTTTTTAATATATCAAATGCCTTGTCCTCTATTTTTTTTAAAATAATGGCCAAAAGTTTTTAATATATTGAGACTCCACATCCCTGATTTCAATAATTTGTTTAAGTATTACATGTTACAAATGGTTTTAAAAATAGTAGAAAAAAAAATTTAAAAGTTTTTTTTTCTTCCATTTTTATTGGGAGTGGAAATCATAAAATAACATTTTTTTTTAAATTTTAGTGGAAAAGAATTCAAAAAAATTTTTTATTTTAAAAGGTCAAAGTAGTAAATTAGTAAAATAAAATCAAGACAAAACCTTAAAAATTTTCAAAAATATAAATAAGTTATAAATATCGTGCAACACTTGCAATATTACTACACAAAAATGTTGGAACTACTTCTTATTTAAATACTATATAAATATTATATAATTTTATATAATATTTTTGATGATGTTAATGGGAAACACCCATGAATATTGTAGTTCTTGCAGAATAAGGTAATAAACATATAATGACCATTAAAGTTGATCGAATATTATCAGAATCTTATCTCTTATATGGAAATATAACAATTTATCTTTAACTGAGTACTTTTAACAGTAGATTTTGATTTCCATAAATCAAAAATTAGAACTTACATCATACACTCTAGTAAAAGATAAAAACTGGAAACTGGAAATAATTGAAAAAGGAAAACAAGATACTTTAAATGTTAAGGTGAAAGTATTTTTTGACAGTAGTAGAGGTTTTTTTAAGATTTTAATTGGTTGATGTGGCAAGTTTCTTCAGTGATGGCATTCCCAAAAGTAGTTTCTGCTATTTAGTGTACATATAGCTATATATAAAAGCTATTGATTCAAAAGAAGTAATGATACTATTGGTGGTAAATTTATGCATTTTTGGTTTTCCATATATTCTAGCAATCGTAGAGCCAGTAAAAGAAATATTTTTATATTTGTCAATATTAAATAAATTTTTATTCTTGATTTTGCAAAGGAATTTTTTTAGTTAGTTTCTTGATAAATCTTTTAAAATTTTGTCGCATCATTAAAGATTTTTTGTCTAATATAGTATAGTCTTAATCTTTGTCTGGTTGTCTTAGTTCAATATTTTATTTTGTAGGTTTTTCAAGTTGCCATGCTTCTTTATTATTGCAAATGAGGGCATTTAAAATGAGTTATATATGATTACCAGATAAAATATACGATTTTAAGTTGTTCTTGAAAGTTGTGAACTTTATATTGAGTTGATGTAAATTGGTTAATTATTTTAAAGGCAATTTGTTTTAGGATTTTTTTTTAGGTGGCATAGCAAATGATAGTTCATTTTTAAGAAAATCTGTTTCTATATTTCAAGTCTATAGAATGATATGTTGTAGTAGTGTTTTTACTTATAAATGGAGATATTTGGTTGATTCTCATGGTTTTTGATTTCAGATATACTAGATCTTTCTGTGTTTTTTTGAATTTTATTTTGGGTAATAATTAAAAATAACATTCAAGATTTGAAAGTTTCATGTGCCTGTGTGTATGTAGATATAGTAGAAAAAAAACACTGAAACATTTTAGTCCCTATGTAATGAGGCAAATAATAAGTATCAAATATTTTTTAACTGGGAGGTAATCCATAGTTATTCAGGGTGATAACCATCCTACCATCACAGCAACACAAACAAAGCACCTAGTTAAACTTTTTTTTTTACTGTGTAATCATGGGGTCATTCCAGTTCAATTCAATTTATACTCGGCACCATGCCATCTCAGATTTTGCTGATTTTTGCAATACAAGCTTGGATTAATAAAAGAAAACTTAATTCCAAATTTTAGTGTCTGACTCCTTATGGTTTCAGAGATATTGATACTTGGTCTCAATCTCTTTTTTAACTTTTTTTTTAGTGCCGTTTATTTTTTAGGCTCATTGCACAACACAATTAGCTTTAATTTATGAAATACTTGTTTATTAGTGGTCAAAATTTCTACCTAACTATTTTTTAGGGTAAGGAACTTAAAAATGATGGCTAAAACACACAAAAATTAAAGCTTCTATATGAAAATTCAATTTTAAAATGGTGTAACACTTTTTGTAAGTTTTTTGATGCCTTTTACAAAAAATGTTTATCTCAAGATGCCTAAAAGATAAAATTCTGAAATTCTAATCTTCTATATGTAACAAATTCCATAATACAAAAAAACTGCAGAGGTTTTCTTTTTTAAATTTGGTTTATTTGCATATAAAGTTATATTAAAATAATTAAGAAAAACTGAAAATGAAAAAAAATGAAAAAAAGTTGTTTGCATTAATTTTTTGCATTTTTTAAATAGATTTTTAGAATCTTGCTGTCTTAGGTACAGTTCTAATATATAAACTTGTTTGCATTTCACATAAAAGATCTTTATTTTATGCAATCATTATGTTAAATAGCTAAAGGATTTTCTATTTTCAAATCTTCAAACAATAATTATTTTAAAATTGTTTCTTACAGAACTAAAAAGTAATATAACAATATGAATGATAAAGAAAGATGTTCAATTGGAATAATAAATAAAGAAATTTGTAAAAGCATAAGTAAAACCAGTCAAATTGGCAGCAGAAGCCCTTTGCCAACAGGATGCAACTCTTCTTACTGCTGAGGGAAACTTTAAGTTTTATGTGAACAGACTGAAACAACAAGATTCAACTCTTTGTATTGCAATGAAGAATGCAATTTTAAGACGCTTTAAAGAGAGAGGTAAAGCAATCTTGTAAGCTTGTACAAATACCTTTTCAATCCAGAAAGTTCATCTGACATTTAAGAACATTGAGTTTTCAAAATGCTTCCAAAGTCTGTACTTCAAAAGATTGCCAAAGATTTGTTGTCTAGACTATAGAATCCTGATGACTTAGAATTCATTCAAGAAGTGTGTGGCTCAGAAAATATTTGTAAAAATCGACTTTCACTTGAAGATGAACTTGAGGAAGCAATTCAGTACTTGGCCAAAAAGCACTGCCACAATTCAAAAGACGAATTCAAAGCCATTTCAAAAGAAATGTTGGTATATGAAGTCTTGAACTTTTGTTCAATTCACTGGAGACTATCCCTCCAACAAGTATTAAGTCAAGTGAGCCTTTTCTGCTGCTGGATTATTTGTGACTAAAGTTCATTCCAGAATGAATGATAACTTACTTTCCTCAAATACACTTTGTTTCCTTATATACACTTTGTTTCCTCAAATACACTTTGTTTCCTTAAATACACTTTGTTTTCTTCAAATACACTTTGTTTCCTTAAATACACTTTGTTTTCTTCAAATACACTTTGTTTCCTTAAATACACTTTGTTACCTTAAATACACTTTGTTTCCTCAAATACACTTTGTTTCCTTAAATACACTTTGTTTCCTTAAATCCACTTTGTTACCTTAAATACACTTTGTTTCCTCGAATACACTTTAATTCCTTAAATACACTTTGTTTCCTTAAATACGCTTGGTTTCCTTAAATACACTAGGTTTCCTTAAAGCTTATTTTTGATCAATATAAAACTATCAATAAAAATATTAGAACTGAATCTAATAAAGACTTTATTTTGAAACAAAAAAAATTTATACGAGTTTCTATGATTTTTTTATTTTTTACTGATTTTACCAATATTTACTGGTAAGTTATGCTTTTTTTTACAGATTTACTGGTAAATTTAAATATTGTTTAAAAGCTCAACCCTATTTGTTTAGATTACAAACAATGGAAAACAACAGACCGATCTGAGATATTAAGCCTAAAAGAAACAACGCTTTATTAATATTTTGAAAAATAAGTTACAAAAATATACTGTTCATTCTTACATATCAAAAAGTCAAGCTGCATCTTTAAGAAAGTTAAAAAGTTAGTTAAGTAGTACTGAGGTTGTTATCCTTTGTGATTTCTCAGAAAATTATGACTTGGTTGTTCAAGACGAAATAAAAAGTTTTTATTGGAACAAAATTCAAGTACATTGCATCCAACTGTAATTTATTATAAAGAAAATAATGTCCTCAATTGTGATTCAATGCTTCATCTCAGATGATTTACTGCATGATGTAGATATTATGTAGGTTTATCATGTGTTGAAGCTAACAATTGAACATATTAAAAACAATATTTCTAATCAAATAGAAAGTGTCCATTATTTTTCAGATGGGTGTGCTGGCCAGTAAAAGAACTGCAAACACTTCATAAATATATGCCGCTATGAACAAGATTTTGCTATGAAATGTACATGGTCTTTCTTTGCAAGTCACGGTAAATCACCTATGATGTTATTGGTGAGACTGTAAAAAGACTAACTTCAATTGCTAGCTTCAATTGTTACATATAGAACATATGTTACATATTTCAGAATCATATCATTTAGACATCTGGAGATAAACTTTTTTTTGTATAAGGGATCAAAAATCTTACAAAAAAAAGTTACACCATTTTGATATTGAATATTTATATATGAGTGGGTCAGAAGCCAAGGGGTACAAGTGACATTTTCATAGTTTTGACAGCTGTTTAAAGTTAAAGTATTTTTGTTAAATATACTCAGCTGTTGTTATGTTTTTCCAGTAGAAAGCAGCACAGGGCAGAGACTCACTTGTATCCCTTGGTCACCAACAATTTTGTTTGCTTCTTCTATCAAATTCTATACTTAACTTAATTTTGGTAAAATTGTCACTTGTACCCCTTGGTTTCTGATACTCATATAAGCTTAAGTTTTTTAACATTTTAACCATGATTTTTGAGTTCCTTACCCTAAAAAGTAGTTAGGTAGACATTTTTATCACTATTGAACAAGTATTTTATAAGTTAAAACTAATTGTGTTGTGCCATGAGCTTAAAAAATAAATAGCGCTGAAAAAAAAAGTAAAAAAGATTGGGACCAAGTATCAATATCTCTGAAACCGTAAGGAGTCTGATACTAAAATTTGGATTGAAGTTTTCTTTCATGAAGTTAAGTTTGTACTCCAAAAATCAGCAAATTCTGAGATGGTATGGTGCAATATATTTATTTTTTTAGTTGATTTGACACGGAATGACCCTATGGCTAAAAAAACTTATGCTAATGGTTAATCAGCCAAAACTTAGTGTTGTTAATCACCCACCTCAAAATCTAGATTATGGAGCTCATGAACATCATTTCTGAACAAAAATGTATTATCAACAATATAGCAACCAAATAAAAAAACTCAAACAAAAATTAGCAGTTATAGAAACTAGCTTTAACTTTCAATCACCCATTTACCCGTGCAAGTTCATACTAGCTATTCTGGAGTAGTGTATTCAGAAACAAATTAAACTGTTTGCCAGAAAATTTTTCAAATCTTTGTTGAACTTAAGCAAACAGCTAAGCGCGTGAAAAGGAAAATAATATTTGGTGTCCCTTAACTCGTCATTGTAACAGGTGTCACTTAAACACTGCCAGCAGTGTTACCCTGCATTGCAGAGGTCCTAACAGTTATAAGCCTCACCAATGATGATAAAAAAATATCAACACCACTTTGCTTACTAATCATCTGCACCTCTAATATGTGCTCACTCAAACAAACTATAACAAAATCAAGATTTTGAATTAATTTCTTTTTTTACAAATTTCGCTAAACCCTAGTGGTAAGCAAACTAATCTTTCCCAAATCAATAATAATTACACTTACATGAGCACTGAATGTCAGGATTACATAGATGGTAGTACTATTATATTCATAAACAAAAATTACTCAGATAAAATAGAGCAAATAAAGTTAATGACCGATTATGCGATTAATATGATGCCTAAACAAGAAATCGAACTAACGATTGCTTGTTTATACCCAAAATACCTTTCCTGAGGATACTATTCCTATCTACTAATATGTGCCTATATTCCTGTTTGGTCTCTAAGTAAACACCGTGATGCATCTTATCAATTTGCAAAAGTTATTGAGCCAGCCATAACCTGCTGCACAGTTGGTAACAAACCACTAATAATTCTTGCAGGGGATCTAAATGGTTGTTCTACTGAATTTTTTTGTTGTTCTCACTAACTCATTCATCCTAATATACATCCATGTATGCAGCCCTTGCAAACCGCAAAACAAGTTTACTAATTAAAAAAAACAAATCTAAAATTGTTATTTTCAAAATGTACATATTGTGGAATGTTTATTTTGTTTCAATATATTTTTTTTATTAGTATTTAATAATTTAATTTACTATTATATTTTTATTATCATTTAGCTTAAATTATTTTCTTGACATATGTATAACTAAATTAAAAAATCTTAATACAATGCTCAAAATAGCCGTTGGACATCGGACACTGCCTACTTTTGTCCTGTAAAACATTTATCAGTCACTTTGTCTGACTCAATATTTTGTGCGCATTCATTTTACTATTATTTTAGTTGTTCCAAAATTATTAATAAATTCAGTATTGTGTATAAACTTTGTTTTTTTAAATTTTCTATTTTTTATCCAAAACAGAAAATGAAGGTCAGCTGCGTTAATAAAATTTCTCATTTTTTTGAGCTAATGCATTTTTAAACGACACCTAAGCATTGAATTTTTTTTAGAATTAAGCAGCCTGGTTTTTATCATTTGTTTCAAAGGGTTGGAATTAATTTTTAATATAGATTTATATTTCAGTATTTGTTTTATTTTTGTCCCATGGTTTTTATAAATTTCAAATAAATATTTTAGCTTCTAAGACCCCTTTTAAATAAAATTTTATTAGAACTTTAACATAATAGTTTTATTTTAATGCTTATAGAAACCAGTACTTTTTATTACACTATTATGTTATGTTACATAACATGTTTTCGCTATTAAAAGTGTTTATGAAAATAATCAAAAAATATCAAAAAATACATATTCATATAAATGTAATTACGTATTATATTCATTGATAGTTTTAATAAAATAGGTTTATCGTAAACAGTCATTATAGTTAAATTGTTACTTTATTTAATAAAGTAATAAGTAAACATAATAATTTATGTATTTAATATATTTATAATAATTATAGTATAGTATTTTTAAAAAAATGTATTATAAATATACAGGCCTCAGCGGGAAGAAATGAGTGCAAGAGCGGTGAAAAGCTCTCCTAAAACAAACATGGGGAGCTATGCAAGCTGCTTCTCTAAATTCTTTAGACAAGTGTTGTTTTTAATACTTATAAAAAAAAGTTCATATTTTCTTATTGTAATAGAATGCACAGATTTTAAGAATTGTTAAAGATAATTATTAAAATGACTGCTTTTTTATTTTAGTTATAATGATAGTTAAACTTTTGAGAGAAAAAATAATACTTTTGTGAGAGCCATTAATTGCTCCCATAAGCCGTTTTAGGGAAGTGTAGGCGAAAGTGAGAGCTAAAGCTCTCGCTTCCCGCGAGGCCTGTATATATATATATATATATATATATATATATATATATATATATATATATATATATATATATGTATATATATATATATATATATATATATATATATATATATATATATATCTGTGTGTGTATGTGTGTGTTGCCAGTGGTTTAAGTTATTTTAAATAATATTTAAGTTGTTAAAAGAAACTGCCAGACTTAAAATGTCAAAACAAGCTACAGTGGTCAAACTGAAAAAACAAAATAATTTAAGTGTGGTCAGGATCGGCGTTCGATTGCATTTCTTTAGGTTTTATCGGACATGTCCGCCAAACTTGAGTATTTATCAGACAAAATGTCCGGAACAAAAAAAAATTTGTATTTTCGAGTCTTGTCTTAATTCTTTTTTTTATTATTTCTTAAAATTGCAACTTAGCAAATAATAGTTTTTTACTTTTAAAAAGTTTTTAACAAACAAAAAATACTACTTGTTGCAAAGAAAAAAACTGAAGTTAATTACTTAACCAGCGCTTTTTTTTTGTGACAATTAAAGATTTAAGTTTCCAAGTACCATTTATTAAAAAATATATATCGTTGTGCTTTCACTTGCTTTTAGGCAAAAAAATTCAGCATACACTTTATGAATATTTTTCATGTAGTGTTATAAGTTGTAGCATGTCTACAAGGAATTTAATTTTTTGTAAAAAATAATAAAGGAGAAAGAAAAACCGAGAAAAATAAAAATTTGATTTTTTAAAATTATGTTAAATGTTAGTTAAAGTAGCGCGTACGTAAATTGTGCGCCAGTTAATTCTCTAAAACAAGGCCTGATATGGTATTTATATGTTTAGTAATAAACACAGCTTAATCTTGATGAAACCACCACTTGACAGTATGGGACAAAATCACTTAATGCAATCAATTGAATTACAACATTACAAAAGAAAAATCCAATCTATTATGGCAGCAGCACACTCCAATCCAACTGAAATTCAGGTATTAAGTTTTGCACTGATGCTAATCCTTTAATCTAAAGTGTTCTATACTGTGAAAAATATGTTAATTGATTTTGTATTCAATGTTTATTCAGTAACAATTTAATACATAGTTTAAAATGATCATGCAGTGTAACCTTTTAAAGGTTTGTTTATGTAGTATTATGTATTGGCTAGGTCATACCTGATTATTATGTTTTATGTAGTAAATAATTGTAAAAATTTTTATGTAAAGTGATCCTTTATAAAGTATGTATGCAGGTACAGGTTTTTTTAAATAGAAGCATCGAGTTTCAAAAATTAAAAAAAATCAATAACATGTTATGTAACAGAGATATGTTAAATTAACTAAAGATTTTTTTTTATTTTAATTTTTAAAAAATTTTATGCTTTAGAGAATGGGGTTGTTTTTGTTATAAATAATGTCTACATACCCAGGGAGGGGGTTGTGAAAGATAATTGCAAGAGGCAGGGGGTACGAAATCAGTGATTTTACTGTGTAACTTATGGATGCTCTTCAGGTTTTTTGAAAATGGATGCTCTTTTGAAAATTAAGTTTTGGTAAAATAAAGAAATATATAAGAAACAAATTTAAAATTTTCTTAAATAATATAATATTTTTGCAATACAATTTATATTTAAAGTATAAATCCCTATTGAGGCCACATTCACTTTCGATTCGTTTACTTTGCCCATGGGTAAAAATAAATAAGTAGAGAATGCTTCAGAATTTTTTCAGTGTGATGAGCATTAAAGTGTGATGAGCAATAAGTGTGATGAGCAATTCAGTGTGATGAGCAATAAAGTCACTAATAACAACGAAATTGGCTGAAGAGTGAAGAGAAAGGGCTGGTCAATTTGATCAGAGATAACATAGAAAAGAGTGCAGTCTTGAGATGATAAGCAATATAGAGCAAAGAGAAAGACAATAGAGTGAAGTGGTGCTAAACGAAAGCACATAAAAGAATAGTCTGTGGATTTAAAATTTCCTGACAAATGGGTAAATTCTTATGAATGTAAATGCCCATGCCAAGCATGTGACTATTGGAGTCTTTACAAATTAAAGGAAGATAACAATCAACACTAAGAACACAAGGCGAGACAGCTGAACTTAAATTAGTCTCATGAGGAGCAAGTAGGTCTGGTGAACTTTGCAAGAACTTAAATTAGTCTCATAAAGAGCAAGTAGGTCTGGTGAACTTTGCAAGACTCAACTGAAGAAAAGTTATTTTGAAGACCATTAATATTAGTGAAGTATAGATTTAGAGATCTTGGTGATGACGATGGTTTTTTGTGTTGTTTTGTTTTGGTACTTTATTCATTTTTAAATTTGTTAAAGAACTTTACTCAAAGCGCAGATAGTACTCAGTACACTATTAAATAGTCCAAGCAATTGCCTCATTACTATTAATAAATCCTAAGCCATAAGAAAGGGCTTCAATCGTGAATGGCCCAGGGGTCAATGTTTTGCCCTTCAAAAGGGCGAAACCCTGACCCCCGGGCCATTCTTGAGACCTACAAGAGGGAGAAAAACAACCACAGTTCACTGTTATTTCTGACAAAATGAACAGTGGTTGGTTGGCCCCCTCTTGTAGGTCTCGAACGTAGCCTGGGGGCCGTCAATGTCCAACCACTAAATTGAACCCTGGAGACCCAATCATGCATTAAGTCAAGAAAATCTAGCAATCAACACCCTAAACAAATAATGTATAAATATGAGGCTTATCAAGATATAGAAGCTGTTTACCCCTAAAGTCTTTGCCTATGAGGCCTGTTACAAGACAGTTGCCGGATGCATTTAATGTCTGCCCAAGATAAGTATTTTTATCGAGACACCATCTCTAGCCTTTACTCAACTAAGAGCCATAAGGTAGGGGGTGTTTAAAGTCAGAGTTCGCTTCTCCTAGTCTTTGTCTAAAAAAAGCATATCCCACAAAGTAGCAGGACATAAAGCATGTTGTACTGGGTTACATATTACCAGTAGCAAGATATTTCTGACTTTATTCTGCTGTACTTCTCGTTTGTATAAACGAGAAGTACAGCAGAATTAAGTTTACAACCCAAATGACATTTTTTATAGATTTTTTATTTGTTGTTGTAATAAAAAATTAAAATAACTTAAAACAAAAAATAATAATAAAATAATAATAATAAAAATAATAATAATAATAATAAATAATAAATAATAAATAATAATAAATAATAATAAATAATAATAATAAATAATAAATAATAATAAATAATAATAAATAATAATAATAAATAATAGAAAAATAAAAAAATAACTTAAATCTAACTTTTTTAAGTTTGTATAAGAGACTTCCAGTTACATTTTTTTTTTTTTTTTAAATTATTCACCTCCCCAAGGCCCGAGGGGGCCACTACAGTCGAGGAGACTACTCATTTTTGTTTTTGTTGTTGTTGTTGTTGTTGTTGTTGTTGTAAATCGTGGTACAGCCCTCTCTCAACTCTTTAACACCGAAACACGAACCTTGACAAGCAAGGCCGCTGCGCGGAGAAAATAAGTTGAGCGCGGTACTTCCAGGGACGTGGTGGGAGTCGAACTCTGAACCTCTTGCCTACAAAGCGAGCGCTCTTACCACTACACCACTACCACATATATACATGATAAAAATGTTCTCATAACACATAGGTGTTATGAGAACATTTTTATCATTGGAGCTACAATGATAAAAATGTTCTCCAATCAGAGAATCATAGAATTTATTTTTTATAGTTTTGAAATTTTTCTGAAAGTTTTTTAAGTTATTAATTTGATAAATACAATGAAAATTTGAATTACATATCCTATATAATTGCTTAGTTATCTAAAAACAAAAATTTGTTTAAGACACTTGGATGTATTAGAGGAGGATACAAGAGAATTAGCGGAGGGGGCATATAATAGTAACACATGCAAATGTAATGCATAACACTAACAAATGTGTTCTTACCACTTCTAATTAAAAAAAAAGGGGGGGGGGGGCATATGAAGGTAACACACAGACTTATTCTTTATTGGGTTTTATTTGAAGAATCAGCTCAAATAAGGCAACTATATTCCATGTGTGAAAGATCAGATCAGACTTTAGATTGGCTGCCTCTTTAAGGGATCAAAAAGTGAAAACTTTTTTTGGAAAATATAGTTAAATATAGTAGTGTTGTAAATACACACTTTAGAGATAAGATTATTAGAAAAAGAACATTAACAGACGTGAAACCGCAACAGTATACAGATAAAACCTTGTAACAGATAAAACCTTAAAATTATTTTATACTGAAAACAGACTTTAGTTACTCCATTAAAACAACACACAACAGCTGTTCAGAGGTACTGGTAATTAAAACCATTTTGTTTTAAAATGGTTTAATGATATTGTTTACATATCCTATCCTTCTTCTTTTATATAAATTTCTAGTAATAAAACTTTTAAAGTAAAAAAAACAGTTTTACAGCTGTTTTTCAAATAAGTTCAAAGCACATTCTAAAAAACAACAGAATTGCTGAATGATTAAACAATATTTTTTTTAGATTTGAAAAAAAAAGATATTGTAAATTATTATTTTTAAATTATAAATTTTTTGTATATAATTGCTTAATTTTTTTTACATCAGAGCCTTTATCAGAAACCCCTAGAAATTACATGCAACCTTTCTAATTCACTGTTATTCAAAAAAAGGATTTTAAGTAAGTTAGAGTGGTAGTTAGGATCACATTATTTACTATGAAAAAAAATTATAATGAATGCAACTTGACAAAACATATATTCATTCTCTTTAGAACTATCCTATAATATTTACACACAAATGTGCGGTTAGAGCTGCAGAGCTCAAAGAGTAAAAAAGGAGACAATTAGCCCTAGTTTTCCTTATATATAAATTATTATAATTTTTTTTAAATGGTATAAAATTTAATAAAATTAGATTTATGCCTTAATGTAATAAAAATGGTTTAATTTAATTGTTTATTTATTAATACTACTTTTTTTATGTTCATGTGTAGAAAGGAGCTATCGAAAGTCAATATCTTTCTGCACCTTTATCTGCAGCTCCATTACCTCCAAAAAGGTTTTGTTCAAGTGAAGGTCATTTGATACACTCTGTTGGTACAAATTTTTTATCTACAGAGTTTGCAGCTAAAGAAGAAAAGCTTATAAACAAAATAGAAGATTGCCCAAACCTTAGTGCATTATCATTGAGACAATTGTTATTGAAATCTATTGCTTGTATAGTTGCACATACTGGTTTTGAAAGTAAACAGTTCAGTTCATTTTTTTTATTTTTGCATTTGTGTAATTATTTAAATTGTTTCTTATTGTGTATAAATTTGGGTTGCAATCCTCTACTTACCAACAACCACTTTGCCTAAAATGATCAGGAGTTAAAAAGCGTTTAACCCTAGGCAAATTAAATACATGGTTGGACTTTTTGATTTTTTCAACAATTTTATTTTCACAAGTAAATTAAACAGATTTTAGATGAGTTCTTTATTTCATTAAAATATTTGTTTAATAAAATGACAAAAAAAGTGATGCATAGATGCTTGCAGTAGCGGTTACAAGAAAAATAATACAATAATATAAGAGACTATACTGAATAGAGTTTTATAACTAAAACAGTATTTGATTTTCTTTCAGAAGTAGATTTGTGCTCTCAGTGGATCAGTTTTATAAATAGAATTAGCTGTAAACCTTTTAATTTCTATAAAGTTGATCAATTTGAAGAGATATCATCAAACAACAAAAACAAAATGCTCTAGACTCAAATGCTAAAGCCATTTTTACTTCCTACATCTGCACTATTAAGACAACTTCCTAAAAAAAGATTTTTTACTAATTGATTGTTAGATGAAACATTGGTTTTCAAAATACAAGATAAGTTTTATGTGAATTCCTCTGTGAATGACTTAATAGTGCAAACATTTGATTCAAGAAAATGTTTATCATTTAATATCAAATTTAATATCACCAACTAACATTAAAAACATAAGTTGTGATACCGATTTGCATGTAAAATTATATTATACCATAAAGGTACTAATTTTTTAACCAATTATACCATAAAGGAAATATAATCTTCCTCTATGGTTTTTTCTGAACAATAACTGTGCACTGACAAGTGTAAGCATGTTGGAAAATGTAGTTTCTTATATTAAAAATTAGGTTGGAGAAAAAGAAAAAAATATTTAGCTACATTTTGTCTATTATTAATCATATGGCAGAGAGTTAGATGTTGAAATATCCTCAAGTGAGGTCTGATGGAACCTAGTGAGAACAAGGTAGATTATGCTTGGTTCTTATTTGCACTTCACAAAAAGGTTATTAACTAAATATGCCAATTAAGTGATAAGTTCAGCTTTAGTTACTCTTGGGCTGTTCAAAAGTAATATTTGTTTTACAGGGTTCATGGCACTCAGGGAAAACCTGGAAAACCAGGGGAAAGTTTTAAAAATTTAGAAAATCAGGGAATACCTGGAAAAGTCAGGGAATATTTGTTAAAAATCGGAAAAATCAGGGAAAACTAAGGGAATATTTTTCAGTGTTATATTTAGCTTGAAGTTATTTTGCAAAATACACATTTTGAGTGTTTATTGTTATTGAAAGTTGCTCACTAAAGTGGTTTTTTAACTTTTATATTATATAGTAACTATATGTTTAGCTAAATGTATAAATAAATATAATAATATAAGACATGACTTCAGAAAAGACTTATTTTCAAAAGGATTGGTTATAACAAGATATTTATAAAGATTGGTTAGTTCCCAACGCACATGCAAAAACTAAAACTCGTTGCAAAAAATGTAAAAAATTATTTGAATTGCCAATATGGGTATTCAGGCTGTTAAAATCATGCAGCAGGTATTTACATTAACTTTTTTAATGTGAGAGTGAGAATTAAAAAGAAATGTTGCTTGATTGATTCATTATTTTGTATTTTAATATCAGTTTTAAACACATTGTAATCAACTTTTGATTGCAACCTGTTTCAGTTGTTTACCTTGTTGGTTAGTTGCTTATATTGTTATTTCAAACTTTGCAAGCTAAACAGATTAAGAAAAAAGATGAAAAATGTTAGACATTTTTAAAACTTAAATGTTTAATTATTTATCTTGTTTTAGGTAAGAAGCATCAGTCTGCTGCAAAGCCTTTTAGTTTCTTTATTAATGGAAAAGAGTTGCATGCTGAACCACTTGGAAGTGAAGAAAAAATATCCACATTTTCCACCAAAAAACAAGCAACTATTGTCTCTTTAATTAAATCATTGTTATCAACTAATGCTGAGATCATATGGGCCCTAAAATCTACAATGAGCTGCAACTCTAATAACTCATGTGCAAATTTAAACAACACTTTTAAAAAGATGTTTCCTGATAGCAAGGGAGCAGAAGATTTCACTATAAGCACCTCAAAAGTATCATACATTGTTAACCATGGACTAGCCCCATACTTCAAGACACTTTTAAAAAAGAAGAAATCACAAAGTCTGATTGTTACATTGTATCTTTTGATGAGAGTTTGAACGACATAACCCAAACTTGTCAGATGGATTTACTTGTTCGGTATTGGGATGACAATGACAAAGTTAAAGTGAGATATTGGACATCAGCATTTCTTGGTCATTCTGCGGCTTCTGACCTTCTTACACATTTCAACGAAAACTTATCAAGGTTTGATTCAAGTAAAATGTATCAAATTTCCATGGGTGACCCTCTACGAATCTGAAATTTCTAGATGATCTAAATAAACACAGAAAGGACAACAAGATGCCACAACTTATAAATATTGGAAGTTACTCTTTGCATGTAATCCATGGTGCTTTCAAAACAGCTATCGAATCAACAACATGGAATATTAAAGAAACTTTAAAAGGGTGTTGGCAAATTCTTCATGATAGCCCAGCTAGATGTCATGATTATGAAACAGTCACAGGTGCAACAAAATACCCTCTTTTTTTTTTGCAAAACAAGATGGGTTGAAAGAAAATCTGTTGCAGATTGTTGCATTTAAATCGGCCTAATATATGTAAGTTGATCGAGTTTTGGGAAAAGTTACCATCTTCGAAACAACCTAAATCAAAAAGCTTTTTAAATATAAAAAAGGCTGTTAAAAACAAACTTATTATTTTAAAGTTTGAAGTTTTTAGCTTTGTTGCAAGCATATTAGAGCCATATTTGTTGGCATACCAAACTGACAAACCAATGATTCCATTCATGTATAGTGACTTAGAAAAGCTGTTACAAACCATATTGAGCTTGTTTGTGAAACAAGATGTTATTGATAATAGTTGAATTTCAGTCCAACTAAAAGAAGTTGGTTTTCATAAAAAAGATAATCTACTTAAAGGAAATCAAATCAAACTAGGGTTTGCAGACTGGCTGCTTTACGAAAGAAAGATATAATAACCATTGCTGATATTCAAAGTTTTCACAAAGATTGCACTAACATGCACGTTTGATTGATTAAAAAGTTCATTGAGCGAACTCCACTAGGATCTATCATTGTAAGCAATTCTCAGGTTCTTAACCCAAATGCAATGGTAGCAATGACTCCAGAAGATGCTGAGAAGAAGTATAAATCTTTATTGAGCCACTTGATTAGCTTGAAATATGTTTCACCAATCTTTTCTAATAAAGCTATAAATTAATTTGCAGATTTCTTTAGAGAATCAAGGATTTATCACGACATCTTTCATGAATTCAATCGAGAAAGAGATAGCTTAGACGACTTCTATTTAAAAAAATTTAACCTAAATAAATATAAAGAGTTCGCATTGACTGTTAAAATATTATTGACACTAAGCCATGGACAAGCCTCAGTTGAGAGAGGTTTTAGTATTAATGCCACAGTACTAGAACAGAATTTAAATGAAAAATCAATAACTGCAAGACGTTTAGTCAAAGATCATATGCCATCAAATAATCTTCAGCCACATAGTATTGAAATTACAAGCAAAATGATTATCAGCGTAAAATGGGCACACAAAAGATATAGAAGCTACCTAAGTTCAATCGCAGACACTAACAAAAAAGAAGCAAGTCAATTGGCAAAAAAAGTTGTTAGCGATGAAATAAAAGATGTTGAAACGAGGCGAGATCAACTGAAGAAAACCAGTGAGATGTTGCAGTTTGATTTTGTAAAATTTGTTGAGGAAGCAGAGGAGAAGCAAGATCTAGGATTAATTTCTAAAGCTAATGCAATGAAACAAAAAAGCAAATGAAAAAAATGAAGAAATCAATTAATTAGAGTTAGCACTTTGCATCTTAGAGCAAAAAAGAAAGTTGCTAAAATAATATATTTGTTCTCACATGAAGTTTATATTTTGTTAACAAAACACATAAGTTTTTTTACAATATATATAAAATGTTATTTTTTTAATATATTTCTTTTAGTTATCTGATTGATATGGCTTTGTTTCTTGTTTAAAACACCTTTTTTTTAATAAAAAATCTTCCTTTAACGGATTGCTATAAATTAATTAAAGATAGTCTCTGATTTCTTAAAAAATAATGATAAAAAATATTTAGGGAACAAGGATTCAGTTGCAAAAGTATTATATTTTTCAACATTGACAAGCAAAATATTTAGACTTTTTACCGCATGAACTCAGGGAAAAAATTCTTGAAAATCACGGAAAACTCAGGGAAAATGGATTTTCAAAACTGCCATGAACCCTGTTTTATGTATCCTAACCATTTAGAGACAATATATTTTATAAAATAAAACTATCAGCTCAAAAGATTTGAGAAAATGAACTAAATATTAGTCAGCAAACAAGTCAGAAAAAAAATTATTTTGATTTATTTATCGTTTGCTATAGTATAGTATAGTTTGCACTTTTTTTCCCCTAGATATTTTATATTTGTTTGGTTGTTATTTTTCTAAAGCTAATTTATGGAAGATTATAATTAACTATACACAATATTTTTTAAAAGAATTTTGTTTTTATTGATAGGTTGTGTTTTACCATAGCTACAATATTTTTGCTATGATATTTTTATACTTTTCTCAAGCTATATATTTGTTTCTATATTATTTGGATGATATATTTTTGTGACTTCCTTATTAAGAGCATAAATTGTAAAAACTAGCCTACTATTTTCAGATAAATAGGCAAGGAGTCTGACCATGTATTTAAGTAAACCACGGTTGGCATTAAAATTAAATTGATACTAATATAAGTTTTATGAATTTCTTGGTTAAAATTAAATTAATGTTAATAACATTTAATGGTATTTACATCACATTGTTTTTAA